CGTCAACTGCCTGAGACCCTCAGCTGCCCCTGGCTTGGAGGTGGGGGCACCTCTCCTGTGGCGCCAGGAGGTGGGCCAGTTAGTGACCAGTGCCCTTCAGTGGACACCATGTCTGCTGCTCAGTGAGCACCACMGGTGGGGGTACCTCATACGCATTCCTTTATGTGTCTGATGCCTCTGCAGCCTATAGGTCCCTGGGGACAGATGCACTTTGTTGCTTTCAACTCTGGGTCTCAGGGCTCAGTGCGGGACTGGCATTTAGAGGGCACTCGGTTGTTTGCAGTAGATCTTGAGGCTGGTGCAGTGGTGCACACCTGTGTTCCCAGCTGCTTGGGTGGCTGAGGCAGGAGGATCTCTTGAGCCCACGAGTTAGAAACCAGCCTAAGCAACATAGTGAAACCCCTTCTAAAAGAATAAAATAAATAAAATAAAGCTATCTCAAGAAGAAATCATCTCTGAAAGTCTTCAACATCCGTGGTTATTCCGGCATCACCGAGAGTCCCAGGTCTGCGTGCCTGACGTGGCCCCAGGTGAGGGAGCTGCCCCACCTGCGTCCAGGGAGCAGTCTGTGTTCTGAGGCTTCTGGTCGCCTTGTTGGGCTGTGTTCTCTGCTGCTACAAAGAGGGGGCTCTGCTCTGGCTTCGGGAGGACACCAAGCTGCTGCGTCGCACACCAGAGGTCACGTCAACAACAGGCCTGGGTGCTGCTTCTGTGGGGCTGGGCTGCCCACAGGGAGGGGCCAGGGTCTGGAAATCTCAGCTCACCAGAGGCAAGCTGTGCCCAGCTGGGCCTGGCCTGCCGAGAGGCTGCCTGGAACCGCTGCCCTGCCGCGTGGCAGCCCCTGCTGGGGAGGAAGTGCTGCTGGTGCCTGCCTTTCTGAACTAAGAGCCAGGCAGGGCAGGACTCCTGCTGTCCTTCGCTCTCCACCGAGACAAGAACAACCCAGTTTCCAGCCTCAGGCAGTATGGAAAGGTAGATGGCTTTGCTGACGTGACCTCTGGTGTGTGTCACCTCAGTTTCTTGGTGCCTAGTTCCCAGACCCGTGATGTGGCAAGAGCCGAGTGGCAGCCTTGTTCCTTTGTCACGGAGCTGGGACCCTCTCGATGTGCGGAAAAGGAGGAGGGCGGCCCACCCCAGCGAGGGGCCCTCTGTGCCGCACAGTACCCTTCATTAAAAATCGCAGAGGAAGCTGGATTCTGAGTGCTCTTTTTGCCCTATCTCCACTTCAAAGGACTGTGTGATACAGCTTCATTAAAATTAATAAGCACTGCCCACCCTGCTGTGAGCTGCTGCTGCCGCTCCGGGTACATGGGTCTCTGCTGGACAACTCTCAGGCATCCCTGCTTTTCTTTGTGGAGTGGGGTAGAGGACAGCACAGCACATACCCCCAGCGCTTGGGGCGCTGCCCCTCAGCTCAGAGGCATAGGCTCTTCGTGTGCTGGGTGCTGCCAGGGTGCAGTGGGAGAGCCGTGTCTGGGTCTTGCCAAAATCTGGCTGCCATCTGCAGCAGCCTGAAGACCTTCCTGGAGGCAGGAGGGTGGGGAGCTCTCTGTGGGGTCCACTCTCCTGGGCAACCACACCACCGCTCTGCTCGGGGTCAGCCCCCAAGGGGTGTTTTCCAGTAACACCCATCTGCTATAGAAGAGGTCCGGCTGCCACAGAGAGAGGAGTGTTGGCAAGCTCTGGGCTCTCACCGCCCTCACCCTCTCCTCTTCCTCAACACAACCACACCACAGGAAGTTCCTATCAGGTTCACAGCTCAGAGCAGCAGCAGGTCCCAGAACAGCCCAGGGGGAGGTGTAGGGTCAAACCAGCTCTGTGTTTGTGAGCTTTACAGCCTTGGATTGTGTAAGGATCAAGGGTAGGCCTCTGCACATGCATTGTGCTCTGCATGTGGTGTGTATGTGCACCATGCATGCATGTGTGTGGCATGTACTGCCATGCACGTATGTTTGTACAGACACACGTGTGTGTTTGCACAAATATGTGTCAGTATTTGTGTTGGTATGTGTGTGTTTATGTCCACATGTAAGTGCATATATAGTGTTTTATGTTCATGGATGCATAGACGCACACAGGTACCTGTATAGAGTATGTGAGGTGTCTATATATACAGTGTATGTGTATTTGTTTTTGCATGTATGTTTGTATGAATGCATAAATGTGCATAGCATGCCTGTGTGCACAAGTATGTTTGTGTGTATGTATGCATACATATGTACACATGTCTCTAAATACATGTTTGTGTATGTGTAATGGTGTGCATATATATGCACCCGTATATATGTCTGTGTATATTCACATAGCATATGTGTGTATAGACTGTCTATGTGCACACAGATAGTATATGTGTGTATGTCTGTGTCTATGTGTGCAAATGTATATTACATTTTTTTTGTATTTACACATATATGTACATATACATACACTCATGCATGCATGTGTTTATACATTTGTATTTGTGCATGTGCATGTATATGTGCATGCTTGCATGCAGATATGATTGTATATTTATCACATAAGGTTACATTTGTATAGGCATATTTGTATGGATGATGTGTATGTATGCCTGTATGTGTGTGTGTATGCCCACACAGAGTATGTGTGCACACATGCCCATATATGTGCAGTGTGTGTATGCACACAAGCACATACATGTCTAGCACACATGTGCATGTGGGAGAAGATGACATGTGCACACGATGCATGCTTATATGTGTATATCATGCATGCACATGTCTCTATGCATACATGTATGCCAAGTGTGCATGCACACATGGGTGTGCTTATATATGCAGTGTGCAGATATGTCTGTGTGTGGGTTTACAGTGTGTGCCTGTGTGTACTGTGTACATAGGTGTGTGCACATGTACATCCACATCCAGTGTGGGTGTCTGTGTGTGAGTATTGCCCAGTGAGGCCCTTGGCAGAGGCTTGGTGAGTGGCAGCTCTTCTCCATTGGTTAGATCAGAGCAGGACTGGGATGAGGTGGTAGCTGTTCATGGTCTGATAAGTCTGTCCACTCTCTGGTCCACCCTGCCCCCAAAGTCCTTCCTGTGAGTGTGACCAGGTCTTTTCCTGTCTGTAGGTCTAAGCTGTGGGTGTGAGGCAGAAGGAACCAGGAGGGCCAGGAGAAAGAGGGCTGCCCAGGGGCTGTCCCACTGCCTCTGCCCTGGGTCCTCAGCCATGGCTGGCACAGAAAGGCGGGTTCTGTGGGGCTTCTCAGTCCCTGGATTCCTGCTTTGGGGCTCTGGGAGGGCCTGTTTGTCTTCCCACAGTACTGGGTGACCACGAGTCTGCACTGGATGGTCTGCCCTAGTTTTCAAGGGCACAGTAGTTCCTGGACCTGCAGAGGGTGGTCTTGCTGGCCCTCTGTGTGGACCAGCAGGGAGATGGAGTCCTAGCTGAGGGTGGGGTTTGAAGCCCTGGAAATGGAGTCAAGCTGCCTGGGTCTGAGTGGAATCCATGACATTTGGTGCCCACCCTGTGCTCTGCACATGACATTCTGTATTCCTGATGTCCATAGTGACCCAAAGTGCTGCATACCATTAGACAGTGTTTACAGATGAGGAAACTGAGGGTCAAAGAGTGTCATCACTTGTCTAAGACTTTGTGGGTAGAGACCTGGCTTTGGATCTAGGTCTGTCTGCTTGCAGTGTCTGCACTTGGAACCACTGGGCATTAGTCTTGGCTAGCTTGCTGCGTGGCCAGTGTTGTCCTGCATACTCTGAGCTCCCTCTGTGCTGGAGCAGAGGAATGGCGTGTTGTCTGCTCAGGCTACTGCAATAAATGCCACAGACGAGCAGTTCAACTAGATTTATTTCCTTGCAAATCTGGAGCCCGGAAGTCCAAGGTCAAAGTCTGGCAGGATTGGTCTCTCCTGAGTCCTTTGTCTGTGGCTGGTAGACAGCTGCCTCTCTGGGTTCGCATGGACTTTCCTCCGTGGCTGAGCCTTCRTGATGTCTCACATCCTCCTATTAGTTCAGGGCACAACCTGTGACCTCACTTAGTCTTAGTGACCTCTTTTAAAAAAGCGTTTGCCCTGGGGTTTAGGACTTCAACTTAGAATTTTTAGAGGGACAAAATTTAGCTTTAGCAGAGACTGAGACTGTTGTGAGCTTAAAACCAGCAAAGCCATGTGAAAGTGCTGTCCTGCCCTGTGTCCCGGGAGTGTCCTGATTTATCTCTGGATGATGGACAAGTGAAGAGAATCGCCTGGGCTTCCAAGTGCTCTGCTGCCACCTTTCACCTGCACCTGCTGACTTCAAGGAGCAGGCTGGGTAGGGTCCCAGCCAGAGACTCAGAGAAGCTGCTGGGGTCTAGGTCAGTGCCCTCGAGCTTCGGTGTCCATGACAGTTCCTTAAAGCGCAGGGGCACATCTGTCCAGCCCTGGGTGATGTCCTGATTCTGAAAGTCCCTTCCAATGATGAGTCATTGCTGCTGGTGACGTGTCTGTCCCACATGCTACACCCAGGTGCTCTTCCCGTGGTTCTCATTTTCCCACCACAGTCTAGGAGGGGAACTGCTATCAGCCCCGGTTTGTAGGTAGGAACACAGTACAGAGGCCACACAGGTGGTGAGGGAGGACTGAGCCAGGCTCAGGGCCTGTGCTGCTGAGCAGGTTGCTAGACGGCTGTGTGTGGCAGCAGGGTGGTGGGCTCGGAGCTCTGGGCGTCAGGAGGGCTGGCGGTCATGGGGATCTGTATGCTACGGCATACTTCGTCACACCCATCTTCAGATGAGGACGCTGAGGTGCAGAGAGGCTAAGCAGTGTGCCTGGGGTGGCTCAGCTCCTGGGTGGTGGAGCTGAGGTGCAGACCTGGGGCTCTGTGGTCCTCTCCTGGGGCTCCTGTTCCTCCAGCCTTCTTGCACCCCAAGCCTCAACACTTCAGGGCGGCCCTTGGATCAGTGGCATCTGCACCCGTGGAAACTTGCTAGAAATGCCGGAGCCCAGGCCTCTGAGTCACCCTGGGACAGGCCCTGCCACCTGTGGTGCACAGGCCCCCGGGATCCCGAGGTCTTCACGGCAGTGCTTGCTGCTCTTGGCTTGGAGCTCATGTCTCTCCTTGTGTCCTTCTGCTTGGCTGCGGCTGTCCACACAGCATCTAGTTTCCTGTGTCTGTGCCTCATCTCCTAGTGCCCTGTGGCAGGGACGGGTCCCATGCTTCTGTAAGACAGGAGCTGAGCTCAGTACCTGGCTGGTGACAGGCACCCAGTGTCGGCAACAACCTTGGATTCTGTTAAAGTTTGGCTCCGTGACCGGGGTGGGCCTGACGCCACGTTCTCACTCTCAGGTCCTGGCTTCCTACAGCAGCAGGTGCCCGCTCGCCTCTGACCTTGCACTTCAGCTGGTGGAATGGGTGCACGTTGACCCCTCTGTGCAGGGAGGTCTCGCGTGGAGTGTGCTTGTGTGGGAAGGAGCTTCCCCTCCAGGGAAGGGCTCATTGTCCCTGTGGCCTCAGGTTCTGACCTTCCCAAGGGGAGTGTCTGGGTGGGAGGGCCAGCGGGGAGGGCTGCGGGCTGCTCCTCTGCTTCCCTGTTAGGCAGAGCTCAGGGGCCTCAGAGAGACAACCCCAAGTGGGCAGGAGGCCCCCACTCCCTTCCCATCTTTCCCCAGGGATCTGTGAAAGCCAGAGACCCCTTTAAGAGACAGGCCCTCTGGAGGGCTCCCTGGGCTCTTGCAGCCGGAGCTAGGCAGGGACACTGCCCTGTTCCAGGCAGGGACTCAGTGGTGTCCTGGGTATGGGGAACGATCCGCCAGGCTTTTGCTCTATGTGCTGGGGCAGGGTAGGGAGTGGGGGTTCCCGGTTGGGGTCGGCAGGCTGGCCCTGTCCAGCTCTACCCTGAACCAGCTGTGTGAGCCTGGGCAGATCCTGAGGGCTCTGGGCCTCTGCCCTCCATTGGAAGGTCTGCAGGCTCACCCTGCCCTGGACTCCTGCTGATGTGAGACTCACATGCAGCCCAATTTGCCGTGATCCAGTGTGTGAGGGTGTCACAGACCACCCTGCGTGGGCACCGCATGGAAAGCAGAACCACCAGGTCCCAGGAGGGAAATAAGAGCAGGCCACCCCACCATCCTCCTGCGGCTCAGCTGGGGTTTCAGGAACCCGGGGCAGTGCTAGGYTGCAGGAAGGGCTGGGGCGCTGGGCACAAGTCAGTGGGCTGAGGACAGGCGGAGGAGAAGGTGTCCCCGGGCCGGTGGCTTGGTGAGTGGCAGCTCTTCTCCATTGGTTAGATCAGAGCAGGACTGGGATGAGGTGGTAGCTGTTCATGGGCAATTGCCTGATGGTCCTTCGATTTCCCAGCAGACTCCATGTGTTGTGTGGGCACACACACCTGCYGCACCAGCGTCATGCTGGGCTGGTCAGGCCCCGCCCTCCCTGGTACCCCAGCTGCACATGGCCCCAGTGACTGCTGGGGTTCCCACCTTCTAGTCCTGATTCCTCTGACTGATCCACAGGCCCTCGCTGCAGGAAAGCAGCCCTGAGTTTCAGATCAGACGGGATCTCCGTTCCCGTCCTGGTTCCACCCTGAAGTAGGCACTGACCTGGTCAAGCCCCACAGCCCCGCCCACTTCTATGCAGGGACCTTGTACGACCACAGGAGAACTCATGTGAGCCCACGTGCTCTGAGCAACGCATCGCTCCTGGCCCTTCCCCGGGCAGCGCTGGACTCAGTGTGGCTCACCCGAGCCGTGCTCTGTGCTCTGGAAGCTGCCCATGTGCGCCACAACGCAGAAGTTCTTGCCAGGAGTCCATCTCTGCACGGAGCTCGCTGGACTGGGTGCAGGTCCTCCTGCCTCTCTTGGGAGCTGCTTTTCCCGAGCTTCCTGTTTCTGTGACAACGTGGGTTGGGAGTGATCCCGAAACCCTGGGCACACAGGACACGTTGGGGATGAGAGCATGAAACTGAGCTTCCTGCTGCAGTCCCCGTGCCTGCTGTCAGTCTGCCTGGCCATCGGTGACCASCTGTGGAAAGGCAGGAGCAGGTGGCCTCTGGAGGGGAGGAGCCTGGAATTCAGCAACTGTCCTCTGCGTTTGTTCTGGGGCCATGCAAAGACGGCCATTCTCAGTCTTGGTGTAGGGACCAGAGGGAAGTCCTGCAGGGTCGTGGTGGTGTGAGGCCAGGCCTTGTTCCCTCCTGCAGGAGACAGGAGAAGAGGCAGAGGGGCTGGTGACTGTTAGCAGGGGCCAGCAGGGAGTGTGGAACAGGCACTTTGGTGTGGAGCTGGCCCARTGGTGAGGCATGCAGGGGCAACCCAGGCCCTCCTTCCTGCTCCCTACCCCTCCTGAGTCTCCTTCAAATGCAGCCGGGCAGAGCCCAGGCTGTGCCACCTAGCACCCGTGCCCATGTTCCCAAGAGCACCCCTCTGTGTTCTTGGAGTCCTGTGGTTCTGGTTCAGCTGGGGACGGGAGTGAGAGCTGAGAAGCACCATGGTGTGGGGTGGAGGTCAGACCATGCCTCCTTCCCTTCACTGTCACAGAGGACCTGTGTGACCTTGGAGAGGTTAAGGGCTGTGCAGTTTCTCAGTCTCGGTCTGTGTGTGCATGTGCGAGTGGGAGATGGAAAGGAGGAGGCATGTTGGATCACCTGTGCATCTGCCAACTTTGATCTTATCGTTTTCTACAGGAGACATGGGGGACAAAGGACAGAAAGGCAGTGTGGGTCGCCATGGAAAAATCGGTCCCATTGGTGCTAAAGGTATTCTAATGCAGTTCTTGCCTCCCACTCCCTCCCAGGCTCAGAGCATCTGAGRATAATTGTAGATGGACCTTCTTGCCTGGTGGTCTTACTAGTTTCTGTGTATCACGCCTGTAAATCCTGCCCCAGTGCATACTTTCAGAGATGCAGCCAGCGACTGCTCCACCCATGGGAGAGGGGGAGGGCAGTGTGCATGGGCGGCAGGACTTAGGGGTTCACCTTCCCGGGTGCAGGGTGGAGCTGTGCGAGGCCAGGTTTGTGTTTTCAGCCACTCCTCTCAACAAGCGTGATGCACAAGGTTTTCATCGCTGAAGTCATGCCGGGCACRCCAGGAAGCCGGTCCACTCCGCCCCGCTTTGGTTTCTCAGGCTTTGTGAGAGCAGGACGCAGGTTGTCCCACCTAACAGGAGGTTGGGCCAGCGCTCCTGGCTGCGTGAGAGGGCCAGAGGGACCTGGGTTCCAGCGTGAGGTTATAAGTGTGTCCTCCCTTCCTGGACCTGGCCGTTGCTAAGCCCAACCCCAGCTCCACCATCCTGCATGGATCTGGATTTCCGTGCTGCAGGGAGGGTCAGGAAGGAGCTGGCGTCCGAGCCAGCCGCCTTCACCCTTGGAGCTGAGGATCTGGGGRTGCTGCCTGCAGAGTTATCCGGGGAATACCCTGGCTTCCAGAGTGAGTGAACAGCAAGCACCTGTACCTCCTCGTGCCCCAGGACACACACAGGGCCCTGTTCATGCAGAGGGCACTCCCTGTCTTCCCTGCAAAGGAGGGTCTGGRAACTCTCAGGCTTGAAACCCGAAGGAAGAGGTTCAACCGGGACGCTTTTTACTCAGGGAACACATCAGCTCTGAGTGGTGACCTGGACTCTGCTATTCTTTTCCAGGTCAAAAAGGAGATTCTGGTGATATGGGACCCCCTGGCCCTAACGGAGAGCCAGGTATGGCATAGCGGCCCGAGGATTTTTTTTTTTTATTATTTCTATCTGTTCTACTGAGTTGTACACGACAGCAGAATGCATTCCAATTCACTGTACACACGTGGAGTGCAACATTTCAATTCTCGGGTTGTCCATGGTGTAAAGATGTACCACTTGTGCGATTATACATGTACCTAGGGGGATGACGTCCACCTCATTCCACCATCTTTCCTACCCTCCTGACCCCTCCCTGCCTCCCCTTTTCCCAGTCCAGAGCAGACCAAGGAGTTTTAATAAAATGTATTAAAATTGTACTTTGGGGCTGGGGATGTGGCTCAAGCAGTAGCGCGCTCGCCTGGCATGCGTGCGGCCCGGGTTCGATCCCCAGCACCACATACCAAACAAAGATGTTGTGTCCACCGATAACTAAAAAGAAATAATAAATAAAAAATATTAAAAAAAAAATAAAAAAAAAATAAAATTGTACTTTAACACTGTGAAGCGTGAGTGACACTGCAGGGGCTGGAAGGCAGGGCCTCCATGACACTGGGACATGGTCTCTCACTAGTCCCTCCGGTGGAAGTTTCCAGCGTCCCTCACCTGATGTCTCGGTGCCCTTCCTGGGCCTGACCTCTGCATGACGAGGCTCAGGCCTGCCCGCCCCACAGCTTGTGCTCCTGGGTCTTCATCTCTCGGGGTGCTCCAGGGTCTCCCCCTCAGAGGTGCACACCCTAATGCCCCAGGCAGTGTCCGCCCCTTGGGGGCCACCAGGRATGTCTGGGCAAGCTCAGGGGCACGTCATTCAGCCCTGTGGAGCGCCTGCTGGAGCTTGCTGCCCGTTCTCTGTCCCCCYAGAGCCACACGGCTCTGCCGCAGCCCCTCTCCCTGCCTGGGCTACATCCCGCAGGCCCCTGTGCGAGGCCACCCTCTCAGCTCATCTGTGAGGTGGAGAGGACAGCAGGATGCAGCTCCGGCTGCGGGCGGCCAGGGTTCCCCACCACCTGGAAGGCTGAGGAGGGCTGACGCTTACTGCTGCTGCTTCACCGTGGGTGCTTTTCCATCTGTGCCGGGTCCTGTCCCCTCCTGCCTCCTGGCGGCTGGCTCTTCCTCTCTGTGAAGCCCCCTCTCCATTTGCACCTTGCCTTCTCTGTGGAGCAGGAGGGTCCTGAAGGCCTCCCGCCAGCCTCCTGCTCCTGGTCCCTAGCTGCTCCCCATCCAGGCCTCTGGATGCCTCACCTGGGGCTTCTGTGTCCCCTCCCATCTGCCCCACCGTCCTGTGGAGATGCCTGGGTCCCTCCGAGTTGTTCCTGGGAGGGACACTCTGAGTCCTTCAGCAGCACCCTGCCCAGACCCCTCCCCGCTCCCCACCCCACCTGCTACCTGCAGGTGTGCCTGTGGCAGCCCTGGCTTTCTCCAGGGTACTCCCGAGCTGAGCCAGCAATGCAGAAGGGACTGCCCAGACACATGGGCTCCACCCAGGAGCCACCTCCCGCAGAGCTCTGGAGTAGACCTGCTGCTGGCTGCCCTCCTTCCAGGCGCCCTGTGGCAGTCCTGGGCTCTGCCGGCTCCGTTCCTCCTTCCCCCAGGCCCTGGTGTCTGTACTGCCACCTGGGGAGGCCATGCCCCTCTTCCTCCTGCCCTACTGCCAGGCGACACTTGCAAACCTGGTCTTGCCTTTAGGACGTCATTGTCATGGCCTCGAAGGCTTGCCTGGCGTCTGCCGAGGAACAATTATATTAGGGGTGAGGTGTGCTCCTCTTCTGAACCCAGCGCCTGCTCAGTGGCTTGATTCCTGCAGGTATCCCCTGTGAGTGCAGCCAGCTGAGAAAGGCCATTGGAGAGATGGACAACCAGGTCGCGCAGCTGACCACGGAGTTAAAATTCATAAAAAATGGTATGTTGGGCCCCGGCTTCCCTTCCCCCAGCCCCGGGGGCAGAGCCCCGGCCACCTGCGGCTCCAGGTGTGGTCTGGGGTCCCCGTGAGCCTGAGGCCTGTTGATGGGAATGCAGTGCTCACTTTCCAGCCCTGCCCTCCCCTGCAGCTGTCGCTGGTGTGCGGGAGACGGACAGCAAGATCTACCTGCTGGTGAAGGAGGAGAAGCGGTACGCYGACGCCCAGCTGTCCTGCCAGGGCCGGGGCGGCACGCTGAGCATGCCCAAGGACGAGGCCGCCAATGGCCTCATGGCCGCCTACCTGGCCCAGGCGGGCCTGGCCCGAGTCTTCATCGGCATCAATGACCTGGAGAGAGAGGGGGCCTTCGTGTACTCGGACCGGTCCCCCATGCAGACCTTCAACAAGTGGCGCAGYGGGGAGCCCAACAACGCCTACGACGAGGAGGACTGTGTGGAGATGGTGGCCTCGGGGGGCTGGAACGACGTGGCCTGCCACACCACCATGTACTTCATGTGCGAGTTTGACAAGGAGAACGTGTGAGCGCCCGCCAGGCCTGCCCGGTCCTGCTGCCCGGTCGGCAGGCGGCTCCCATGGATGGTGCCCCCAGCCAGCGGTCCCCGGTGTGGGAGGGTCTCTGGGCACAGCATGCTCCCCCCCCACCCCGGGAATGCAGGGGCTCCTGGCTGTGGGGCATCTGAACCTCAGAGAASGCAGGGAGCTGGACAGGAGGCTGGGGGCTCCCTGCTGTGCCGCAGCCCACACTTCACTGTGGAGGGCGCTCRGAAGGCTCTGGCCTTGGTCCAATAGTCAAGGTCGCCCTTCACTATCTCAGTAGGTAGGTGCCGACGAGGGCGGTGGGTCTGGAATGACCTAGGCCTTTTCATTCCTGTGTGGAAGGGAGCCCTCATCCAGGGCCTGGGTTTCCATAGTTAGACTAAAATGTAGGTCCCTTGGCACTTGTTATCCAAGTAGAAGCCACTTGCTTTGCTTCAAACCCAGATTTCAGGAAGAATAAATTCTGAAGCTCTGCCATGGCCCTGTGGTGTCATCTTGTCCTCTTACCTCCAATACTGTATCAGTTATGTGTCGCTGTATAACAAGCTGTCCCCAATCTTGGTGGCCCGAGGCAGAAACATTTAATCCTTGGGTGTGCCTGGACCAGGGAGTTGTGCAGGGCCTTGCTGGGGCCTCTGCTTCAGGGTCTCCCACCTGTTAGAAGTAAGCCCATGTGGTTCTGGCAGAGCCCACTGAGTTCTAGTCACTCACAGCAAGGACCGGGGGAGTCATAGGACCACCGGGGGCCGCTGGGCGGAGGCATCCTCGTTCCTCGAGAGGCTGTTCCACATGACCAGCTCATCAGGGCAGCAAGGAGACCAGCTGCAGAGAGAACACTGGCCTCTGTAGCCTGGCCTGAGAGGGACACCCTCGTCTCCAGTGAGTTCTGTTTGTGGGGAGAATCGCCAGGTCTGGCCCCCACACAGGGGCCCACGCCAGGGCGTGACCTTGGGGGACTGGTTGCAGTGACCCCTGGTTCTCTTGTATTTCAGACCCAGAGCGGGTGATGGTGGCACCTCCCCAGCTCGGCTCAGGTTTCTGTGTCTCTCTGGAGGGAGGCCCTGACCGCCRTTGTCTGGATTGTCTTTCCAAGGGTGTCGCACGGAATTGCCTTGGGAGATGACGATGCCTCTCYCCCCCCATCCCCCCTGGTGAAAAGGTCTGGCAGGCTTGCTTACAGCCTTGCAGGAGAGAGAGTGGATCTCACTCAGGCCCACTGTCCAGCACCCTGCAGACCAGGGCGGCCTCCGCGAAAAGAGCCAGCATTCTGACCGCCTGCGATAAGGGCTTGGGTTCCCCAGGCTCAAGGGTCCCCTGCGATGACCCTCTGCAGGTGCAGGTGTGGTGTGTTCCTCTTTATGAGCCCTGCAGGACCTGGGGTCAGGACGCTGTGTAGGGGTGCTGGTGTTCTGGCCACTGGTCTTGCTGTGAGTGATGGAGACTCAGCCGTCTCCTGGCTCCTGCCAGCATCCATGACAGGGTCAGGAGACACGCTGGCCTCTGAGTGGGGTGAATCTCAGACCCTTCCCTGGTCTTGACAGTTTATTTACACTCCGTGGAAGCCTTGGAGAACAAGTGCATTCCAGTATCAGGGGTCTTCGAGGTACCTGCTTGGGTTGGAAGAGGGGCTCTCTGTCTTTTGGAGCAGAAAGGGGGATCAAGTGAATGGGATCATTTGAGGAGCCCTTGCCTTGTTTGTTGGAGAGGGACGTCAGAGGCAGCCAGGTCTCTCTTCTCTGTCCAGACCTGCCCTCGTGCCGGTGCTCACCGCCTTCCGGCACCACCAGCCGGCACGTCTGGGGCTCGGTGTATCTGCACACAGTGGTTCTCCCATGGCCACGTGTTGTGACTCAGGCAGACCCAGCTTGCAGCAGGGCAGCGGCACCATCTGGAGGGATGATGACGGGGACAGAGGAAGGTGTGCAGGCTCCAGTGACCCCACCCCAGTCGGCACAGACTGAGCCCCACCCACGAGCACATAGTGTCCTTAGCACCGTCTTGAGAAGGGACCAGACAGGCCTGTGTTACCGGGGCCACCACCCTGGGAATGAGTGTGCGTGTGTGATCGTAACACGCCCCACAGGACACACTCGTGCCGTACCCAGTTCCCCGTCTGCTGCTCCAGGTGGGGTCCATCTCCCCAGGCTTTGTTTTTTAAGTACCTAGGTATACACACAAAATAGTGATTCTCTTTCTTCTCTCTCTCTGTAGTACTGGGGACTGAACCCAGGGGCTCTCTGCCACTAAACTACATCTTTAGCCTTTTTGTATTTTTTAGTTTTCAGGCAGGGTCTTACTAAGTTGCCCTGTGAGGCTGGCAGGGACTCGGGATCTCCTGCTTTAGCTTCCCGAGCAGCTGGGGTCACAGCCTGCTCGCCACACCTGCTAAACATCTGTGCTCACTAGTTTTAAAAAAACTGAAGAATGGATCGCACTGAGCGTGTCTCTCCTTCCTTTTCCTCAGCCACATCTTGCCTTTCACATGAGGCCGCGGGGACCTGGCCTGCTCTTCCCACCTGCAGCGCTGACCTCCCTGGCATGGCTCCAGGCAGGGCTTCCCTCTCCATGAGCGCTGGAGCTGTTTCTGTCTCTACTCTTACGGAGGCTGCTGGGCCTGCGTCCTGGACCATGGCTTTGCACAGGGGACAGTGCAGGCAGCGGCCCTGCACACAGGCACACTGTGTGCTAAGCAGCAGGGACGAGCTGAGCCCAGCGAGAAGCTGGGCTGTGGATAGCCCCACGTGGCCCCCCAGCGGTGGCTGCTCAGCCTGGCCCAGGAAGTCTCCCACAGGTGTCCTGTCTGTAAACGTTTCCCACCTGCGTGTGCACTCCCACCTCCCACCCACGTGTGCACTCTCAGACAGCCAAGGGCCCTCCCTGGGCCTCGCCCTTTCCTCTGCCTCTCAGGAGTGTGCCCAGGAGGCTGGAGGGCTCCCTGCCGGGGCCGAGTGCTCTGGGCCCTGGACAGGCTTAGGGGAGAGAGGAAGGGCAGAAACAGCACAGCCCCGTTCTAGGCCCTGCTGGGGCCCACAATGTGCTCACGGTGACCAGAGCCGTGCCTGGACGCATGCATACTGGGCCTGTGGGAAGAGAGCTCCGTGTGGGGCCTGGGGCCAGGGTCACAGCCAGGACTTCTGGGTTTGAGTCTGTATTTGGACTTGGTCAAGATGCACAAGATTGTGTGTACATGATCACAATTTTTAGGCCACAGCTGGGCTCCGAGTCAGATACTTTGCCCTAAGTGAATCCCTGCAAGGGTCAGGCGGGACCTCTTGTGCAGCCTGGGAGATGGCATCTGCAGAGTGGGGACAACTGCTGGGCCGAGGAGAGAGCCAGGAGTCACTGAGGTGTGACCAAAGGCTGGTGGATTAGATTCAGAGCTTCCTGTGAAGTGTAGCCGAAGAAGTTGGGGGACAGGGTGGCCACAGCCTAGGCAGGTGGCCAAGAAAGGCAGGCGTATCCAGACTGATGGCTGCTGGGAAGACTGGCCCAGAGCCACCTGACTCCCCGAGGGTGGAGCTTACTGGTGACRGACGCCCTTGTTCCACCTCCTTGTGCTGCAGTCTGGATGGGCTTCTGCACTGGGGATGTGGGGCACCAGGGACCCGCAGGGCATATGTCCCATTCCCCTACCGAGGGCTTCTCTTTGGGGTCAAGGGCAGAAGGCGGTGTCTTCCTGACCATCTTCTGCTTGTCCCATCTAGCTGGCTGCTGCCCCTGTGGGAACTGGCTCACACCGGCACTGTTCAGTAGGGCGGGAAATCCCAGGGAGTGTGGCCASAGCACTCTACACAGCCACCTCACAGGATCCAGGGTCCCTCTCCCCACCCCCCTGCTGGCTCTTCTACATCTCTGCCTCCATCTCTGAGCAATCTCCTCACTCCTCCATGTGGACACACGCAAACACGCATGCGCATGCAGACACACAGTCCACACGTGTGCACACACAAAGAGCTCCTGCGGCATGGGGCATCCGTGAGTCAGCTGCAGCGTCTGTGTCCACCCTCCTCCCACTGGGCCAGCAGGGTGCCTGCACAGAGCCACCCCGGCCCCCAGGCAGCCACTGACATCTCTGGTTTTCCCCACGGGAGGGCACTGGGCGGGGAAGGGCACCACTCGGCCCAGGAGGCAGGCCTGCTCAGCTGTATGCAAGAAAACCTGGGTCTGGCACGTTTACACAGAAGGGGAATTTGTTGAAAGCTTTTTGGGAATTGACAGGAAAGATGGGAGGACTGTCTTGGTGCTCTGTGGAGGGAGCGAAACCCATGAATCATGCTGCAGGTGGGCCGGCATGATCCCCGGCTGCTGCAGCTGCAGTGCTATTGCTAGGCTGCAGTGCTGTTGCGAGGCTGCTGCTGCTGTTACCAAGGAAGCTGGTGGACTGCGTAGGACACACCATAGCTTACCTCAGGCCTGGGGTGTCTGGAGTTGGGGCACGTTAGTGTCTGTGTAGGTGTGCACTGCACAAATCCAGACAGCTGCAACCTGCACAGCTCCCTGTGGTGGCTCCGTATCCGTCTGTGCCCTAGAAACAAGGGCTGGGGCGAGCACRCATTCCCAGTTTCAGTGGTGGAAGGAAAATGCTGCTTCCTGAGGACAGCAATGTCCCAAGCAATGTATCAGTTGCTTTACTACCGCATAACAGGTCACCCAAGATTTAGTGATGAAACAGTACCGTTTACTTTGGTGCTGTGACTCCATGGGTCAGCAGTTTGCACTGGGGCCAGTTGGTAATTCTGCTCTTGCTGGGCTCACATGTGACTCTGTTGACTATTGGAAGGGCTCAAGTGGAGCAGGAGGCAAGGTGGGGGGTGAGGATGGTGCAGGAGGCTCAGGGAGGCAGTGGCTGAACCAGCCTCCAGCTCCTCAGGTGTCTGCCTTAGTGAGCAAGCCAGAGGAAGCCGGGGTCAACAGCCAGGTCATCCAACCAGGAGGGAGAAGGAGGGGGTGGAAGAGGAAGGATGGGGGATAGGAGGGAGAGGGAGGGGGTGGAAGAGGAAGGATGGGGGATAGGAGGAGGAGGAGTTCTCTCCATGG